TTTTTTCTATATTAGAATGCTGTCTTTTCTGAAGAGGTATGTTCTGTTTGTTACCTTGTAGGTGCATGTAGGAGAATATGGTGTCCATTGGAACTTCTTTTTCACCCTTGCAGCAGTTTCTATCCTTACATCCATTATCAGGATTCATCCTAAATATTGCGGGATAGTTGGTATGCTTGTTCTTGCAGGTACTAATGGTTCTAGTTTTACAGTTTGGTTAGAAGGGTTTAGAGGTGCTACAATTCTCCTTTTCAGTAGATAAATTGCTCTTATTTATTTTTACAGGATACCAGGTATGGCTAAATTTTGGGTTGAATGAGTATCTCACATCTGATGAGAGAAGTGCTGATATCATTGGCCAGAATAAGGAAGGCGTGTATAGCATATTTGGTAAAAATATCTATGTGTACATGATTTTTTTGTCATTTTTTTGCATAAGATGCTGAGGAACATAGAGGCGTAGAGCCGTCCAAGCTTGGTTTTTGTTTGTTTGACAAAATAACATTGCTGGTCCAGATTTGTACAGAAAGCTCAGTGAACAAATATGTGTAATACTGGGTTTACCAGCTCATGATTAAAACCAAATGAATCACCACATTGAGCCCACACCTGTCCTTTCTCACTAATCCTGATATTGTGCTTGAAGATGTTGCAAAATGCAGAGTGTAAGCTCACAGCACTTCAGTTTTCTTCTGTCGCCCCACATCGTCAATTGCTTCCAATGCTAACGAAGGATATAGAGAGTAGCATAGCTTTTTGTTTGAAACATAATCATTACCGACAAGCAACAAAGTCCAACAAATACCAGAAAACACTATCAATTTGATTTTGTTTTACTTTGCCAATCATGCTGATCATCTTGACAAAATAAATCCCCAGAAGTCAAAACGGCTTGGAATTTGCTTCATTCCCTCCCAAGATTGTTAGCACACGCGCTTTATAGGTTGATATTTTGCATATGCGTCTCTCTAATGTTTCATAACCTTAGTTCAAAAGGAAAGATCAGGAGCACTCAAGTGGTAAAAGTCTGGGTTAACAGGGCTATGCTCATTGCCATCACTGGTGCTATCTTCTCTCTATCGCCACCGCCTCCTCGTCTCTCTTGTCTAGCTGAAGCTCTCCTCTGTCATGAGTTCTCTTCTGCCAAAGCTCGCTTTTGGCAACAACAGCGCTTACGTTTCCTTGGTTAGGGATGGCTTCACACCCCCCGTCACTCCTGGTTGCAATAAGAGTTCTGGGCACCGGTAGGTCTGGCTAGGCGGTATGAGGAGGAGAGTGTTAGGTTCAACAGGGTTGCAACGGCAGTGCGTCGTTACGTTTGATGATGTAATGAGGCACAACAGGAGGTGGCAGCGGAAGCCATGGTTAAGGTTGTAGATGCAGAGTACTGGGCCCAAATGTGATGGAAAAGAAGAACCTGGGTCCATGTTAAGCCTAATGAACACCCAGGTGTGCCATGATTGCAACAAAGACGTGCATGCTCGAAACTGAGCACACATATGTCTAAATGTGAGCACTAAAATTTGAACCCTGTTGGGTGGAGTCATGTACCCACAACTCCTTCATCCCAGGAAGAGCTCGCTCTCTTTCCATCATTCTTTTTTGTTTTGCTGAACTTTAATATGGTGATTATCTGTTGTTACTTATCAAGGTCACTTTATATCTGAATATTCAGCATCATAGATTTCCATGCACCACATTATGCGATCTAATGAACTCCCTCTTTCCACAGGATACTGGGGTATGTACCTGATTGGTGTATCTCTGGGTTACTTTTTGTTTCATAACCTTAGTTCAAAAGGAAAGATCAGGAGCACTCAAGTGGTAAAAGTCTGGGTTCTCGCGGCATCATTTTGGTAGGAAGCAATGATAACATGAACACCTATGAATAAGAGTTCTAATGTTTCTTGGTTGTTAACATTTTCTCCGATGGTGCATGTTCATAGGATTTTGGCGATCATTCTTGACAGCTATGTTGAAAGAGTTTCTCGACGAATGGTAGGGTACTAACTACCTACATGCTTGGTTTTGTTTACACTGACACTAAAAGTGCAAACTCATCTTTGAAGAATTTTTGTGATAGCCATGCAATGTAGCAGCAACCTATGGTATATAGAACACAGTACTGTGCTCTTAGTATCTCAATGGACATGTTATGTTTAAACATGATTAAATGTAGGAGTATGACATATATTTTTCATAGTATTTAGGTTTGGCCTAAGTAAATCTGAAGTAAGAACATTTGTTGCATTTGTTGAAATGTAAATCTTCCACTCATGCAATGTGATTCTTCCAACATGAATGGATATGTGGAGAAACTAGCTTCCCAAATCATTATTTTTTTAGTGAAAGGAAATGCTACAGTTACTACAAACTAGTTTTACACTCGAAATTGGGACAAAGTAACTCCAGCAACTTATCTTTCCTCTTTTACTTTCTGGAGCAAAATGATTCAAGCATTTCATTTTGCAGTGTAACTTCGCCTATGTTATGCTTGTGTTTGGCCAGAATTTTCAGGTATTTATTTCCTTTCTCGCTTTTATAAACTTATATAGCATGCGTTCATTGTCAGATTAGGACATCCAGAAGACAAGAATAATATGTAGTACTTTAATTGATAGTACCTTTGTTACCCAATTGTGGGCTCTAAAAGCGTAAGGATAGTGTTTATTGCATAGTTTCATCTTCTCTAATGAGGATAACATTCAAATTTCAACTGAAAATAATGTGCACCAGCTGCAACATAGCTGAAAATAATGTGCACTAGCTGAAAAATGAGGTTTGAAAGTTTAGCTTTACCCTTTGTACTTATAGTTCACCAACTGGTTTTAATATTTTAATGATTGTCTGAATCTGATATTAGAGCCTGGAAACTGGAAAGATGCACACACTTCTCATCTTCGAATGCATGCTACTTAGTTACATTCTCTTTCTGGGATCATGAAGAAGTACCATGTAAATATATTTTAAAGAAGAGTTTTACTAAGCAAATGCATTATGCGGGGCACAACCATCCAGGTTACTAAAAGGGGCAAACACTAAAGGAAAAGCAGCAAATTACCTAACTAGAGGGTGCCACCAAGCCCTTTAGCTCCAGCCGCAACTAAATATACCTGTTGTGGTGTTGCCTGAAGGGTCTAACAACATTTGAGCCTGCTAATACTTACCAATTGTATTGTTACTAGGTACGAAATTGCTAAAAAAATGTTCAGGCTCCACTATTCATGATGGGTACTGTTATAATGACAGGTTATATCTATTCTCACACTAGCGGGGTCCATTTCACATGACAAGAATTTGGTTCTTGAGGAAGCATTCAATCAAAATATGCTTGGGGTATTCATTGTGGTAAGATCATGACTTGTTATTCTTATTGCTGATGCCAAAATGGGAACTTATGACTAATAGGACCGAATCGTCAAATTTTAGCAGATATATGTACCTCTTTAAGCGGCCAGTGTAAAGAAACTGACATTTACATTCTCTTGCAGGCAAATATCCTAACTGGTCTAGTAAATCTCTCAGTTGACACGCTTTCGGCCTCTCCCCTCGCTGCCTTCATGATTTTGGTAGCATACACCTTTACTTTGTGCATGCTTGCTGGTCTTGCTCAGTTTTCTGGTGTTAGGATAAAATTTTGGTGAATATGGATTTTGTCCGGTACTGTACTTTGTATGTATGGAGTATTTAATCTTGATTTTGAGGAAGACACGTTTGTGTATTGAAACCGAGCCCATAGAGCTCATATGTGGTCAATTACCAAAGCACTACCCATTGCAGGTGGTATATGAATCGAGGTGAGTGTTGTTTATTCACACAGTACTCGTGAGATCCAATCTAATAAAGAGAATAATCCTTAACGCTTTGTTTGGATGTCTGTATTGGAGGCCTATGTATTGTATTGGTTTCAATTCCAATTCAGACAGGAAACTGTAATAGAGGTCCAAATTGAGCAAACCCATCACTAAACTTGTTACTGTATTATTGTTCACTCGAGGTCCAAATGGCCCTGAGTCAAGATAAACCGCAAATCAGTTGCTGATCAGGACTAGGTGGGGCCCTGTCCAGGGCCTAGATATTGGAATTGGCTTTTTTATGAACGCCCTGAATACCTCTTTGTTCCAAGTTCTTCTCAAAAAATAAAATAAAAAATCTCTTTGTTCCAAGTGGTTCAGAAGCCCTATCTCTCACTCGTTGTAGCGTTGTAATGTGCTGCAGTCATGACTTGTTTCCGTTCTCAGGCCCCGTTTGAAAGTTGAAACGGCGGAATATCAAAGGAATTTTGGAGAATCGAATTCCTACATATTTTTTTTTCTGACTGTGCCGTTTGAAACAAAGGAATGGCTCACCAAGGTTCCTATGGAACATGGCAATGCAAAGGAATTTTGGAGGGAAAGACCTCATGTTTTCTCTCATGTATCTAGGATTACTGCGTTTTTCTTATGTGGTGTCCAAATAGCAAGTCTGGTGTATTCTTGTGTTTTGGATTGCTGTAAGAATTTAGGTTACATGATATCTCATTTCTTGCAGTTTTTCTATTCCGGCGTTTTGATTCCTATGTTCCAAATGGTGCGTTTATGTGGTGTTAGCCTGAGTAAGAATCGCAGTGGGAGAGGCGATAAAGTGAGGGGTCAGCGTTCAATGACAGTGAAGTCAGCGAGAGAAGGAAAACTCTAACAAAAGGGAAAGTTGCTACAGTTTTTGGAGTAACTTTTTAAAATTCAAGTATCCCGTTTATTCAAGAAACAGTAGTATATACTCCCTCTGTTTACATGCCGATGGTGCTAAGATGTGGAGCCAGAGTCGACGAGTCGAGGGCACTTCAGTTGATGACGCTGATGATGGCGATGACATTGATGAGCAAGATTGATGGTTGGAGCTTGCACTTTGTGTTGAGTTTGGCTTGTTCGGGTCTGTGCTGAGTCTGGCTTGTTGTGGCCAAGGTTGTAAGGTTTTTGCCTTGTTTTTTGCTGATTTTTTTTTGCGGAATAATTCTTGTATTACTCAATCAAAACACGGTTACAGTCACGCTTAACAGCGTCCAAAACGGCATCTGGTCCTGACCCAAGCCATACAGCGATTCGGCCTTGAGTCCTCCCAAAGTTGGCCAAAACATGACTAGAATTATTACAACTACGATAGATATGAGTAATACAAGAACTACGTTCGGACATACTATCTTTAATCTCTCTAATAAGAAAGGCATATTTTGATCTATTTGTATCTCCACTTTTCACCATGTTCACTGCTTCCAAACTGTCGCTTTCAATATAAATTGGTAGACTGCTCCACTGTAGAGCGAGCATGAGTCCCCCGGATTGCTAAGATCTCAGCCTCTAAAATATCATCACAAGAAAAAAGGTGTCTACAAGAGCTGAAGATGATGGCGCCGGTGTGGTCACGGAGCAGCATACCAGTTCCTCCAACTCCATTCAAAACAGATCCATCTGTATTTAGCTTTACATGCCCAGTGGCCGGGGGTATCCAAGAAACAAGATTAGTGAAAGCATTATTGCATGCGTGAGCTGTAAGAGGGAAACAGTATTGAAGTGGGGCTTTCCCTTTCACATGAACATCACCAGAACGTGTTGCAATGGATTGTAGCGATGATAGGTAGCTTGATAAAAATCTGACAGAGACATCCAAAGGAGGGGCGGGTTTAAAATGCACGAGCTCGTTTCTAACATACCAAATTCGCCAGAAGAGCATCACCAGTTGAACTCGTGTAGACTCATCAACCTCGCAGATATACTGAATAAACCAATCAGGCCCAGTTGACTTGATCGAAGATACATCCGGCAAGAACCATTCAGCAGCCATGGCCCTCCATAGAGCTCTTGCGTTCGTGCATGAACAGAATGTATGGAACGTGTCTTCTTCATTAGTTGGGCAACTCTGTTGTGCTCACTTAACCTCCGTAGGATGAAGCAAGAGATGGGAGCAGGCAAGCCGAAACTCGAAAAATCCCCCTCGAAGCGGGCCGAGGTAAGCAGACTTCGCTCCCCGTGCAGTTGAAAAGAATCTGGCACCAGTACGAGGGTTTCAAGGGAGAGTGTTTTTTGAACTGGAATCATATTTATTCCATTAACCAAAGAGCACAGCAGCATCGCTGGCTACCAAGTTTTGCACAAAAACAGGGGCACCATTTGGCCATAAAGCTGGGAATGATAGCCCTGAGCGTCTGCAACTTTATTAGTAATACGGAAAAAATTAAAATTTAGCCAAGTAAACTATTTAATCTCCTTGAAGATAACACAATTTATCGCCATATCGTCGTCCGACCGAAGCGCTTAACCTAATTAAAAACGATCAGATAAACTAAACATCCAAGCATAAACCCATTGGCTAGAAAAACCTTGTCACGAAGCATTCTAGATAGAGATGCAGCGCCCAGAAACAAAACCAAAAACTACTAATATATGAGACGACAAGTATAACTGTCACTAACATATAGTTATCCGACTCCCCAGGCATTCAAGTTCTACCAATATACGAGACGATGCAATCAAGTACAGTATATCTGTTGCTACTGCCTACTAGACAGACTTAACTTCACCCCCGAACCTCCTATTAACAAGACATCCCATAACTCTTCCCAAGAGACAACTGTTTACAGAATGGCGCACTTGTTCGTCGCCGCCAGCCTCCGGAACTCCTCGTTTTCCTCCTGAGCCTTCTCTAGCCTCTCCTTGAGCTTGCGGATCTCCTCGTCGGATTTCAGCCTCGCCTCCGCCGCCACCCTCTCTGCTTCCAGCCTTGCATTCTGTTCTTCCATGAGTTGAACTTGCAGCTTCTCCACCGTGATATTCAGCTTTTCCTCCACCTACGGTTATGTCACACAGTCAATGCAGTTGGAAACACATGCATGTAAATAGGCAGCTATTTAGATAACTTTGGGAAAGTTGAAACAATCTCCAAAATGTCCAAACAACAAAAACACATGATTGTTTCGTAAAATATCAACTTATGTAGAAAGGGAAGTATGGCTGTGTGCATCACGATGATGCAGAGGATGGGCTTTTCAATACCCTTCTCTAACAATATATAACTCGTAAAAAGGGAAGTCGCATAAATATAGTAATATAAATATAACTTCATTAGAAGTACTGTCGACTAATATAGCATCATTAGAAATTACATGTAATGGAACATATGCAGCTATGCCTTATAAAGAAGGGGATAAGTTTCTGGAACAAGATTTTAACTAAAAGTAACATAACTAAATGTGAGATTATTTTTAGAGATAAAATAGTATCTGTTACCATGGCAGTAATGTTTGCAAGCTGTTCATCCCGAGTTCTGTGGATCTCCTTCTTCAATTCAGATATTTGGTCCTCTGAATATCCCTGAGCATCATGAACCTCCTTCTCTCTATCATGCACCTCCTACAAGATGAGATCAGCATTAGAATTACAAAATAAAAAATAGAGATGAGAATCACAAACTATATTTCAACAACATTACCTTAAGGCGAGTGAGCATTTGATCTGTAAATGGGTTTCCTCCATTATTTGCACTAACAGAATCAACCACATCAAGCAACGTTTCGAGCTGCTTAGTCCGAATCCTAGGGTCCTTGGTCTTGTTATCAAAAAGAACCACTCTATTTTTGCATAGCTGAACAACTTTCTGTAGACAGAACATACAAATGTAACTATTTGCACCCAAGCTCATATGATTCAAGAGCCATGCACATCTCAAGTTTGGCAACAGAAGGTAAAAAAGTATTATACCTGCAGATACTCTGGGGCATTGCTTAACATGTTCTTCAACAAATTTTCACCAACTAAATCTCCGTAAGTGAAAACTAAGACCAGGTGATCAACGATTTTCTCTCCAAAAAACACTTTAATAGTCTCAATTGTACTAGAATCTTCTCGAGAAAATCGAGAAGTAGCAGAAAAAACCATCAACACAGCATGTATCCCATCTTTAGCCATGTTCATGCACTTAACAATTTCTTTGCCAGCATCCTCAGGGGTCACGGTCATGTCGAATAATCCTATCCAAGTCAATGAAATGGATGATTAGCAAAATATAATAAACATGACGACCTAAGAAAAAAAATAACAGGATCAGTTTTGCAGCCAGGACGATAAATTTACCGGTTCCCTAGTTTCCACACTGGTGATATACAAAAATACATGAAAATTTTCCCTAAAAATATAATTAGAATTTCTTTATCTTTATTTAGGAAAAATATTGTTTTCTTTATGAAGCTGCTTTCACCTCCATGCATGAAAGAAATGAAGGAAGATGGATGAATATGTAAGACATGTGATGTTACAGCTGCAAAATATAAACATGCATGTTCAATTCAAATATCTTGCTCTCCTACGTTTCAGTGATGTTCCCAATTCAACATCCAGCGCTCCAATTGCGATGACTTAAAAGCCAAAACAAGTAGCGGTAACTTTTTAATTCATAAAATGATTAATCTGATTAAACATGTAAACCTTCCAGTTTAAGGTCAACTAGCTGAATTCCTGTGCATTGCTATGGAACTAAGAAGATAATCTAATCATGTGGCCAGTCAGTCTCTTAAAAATCCATGGCCACAAAAATTGACATGGGATTAGAATAAACAACACAACCTATAAATAGCAAATCATGGATCATTACTCAGGAAATTGTGGATGGGAGGACGTGGGATGGCAAAGAGACCATCACCGTACACTAAGGTGCTACAGTATTTTTAGTTTGTTAAGAATGAGCGCAGCAGATGGCATCTCTATTAGATGTTATCCAATGAAGGATGAGTTGATGGAAGTCCAAACATTCAAAGATACCACATCAAACAACTAGCGTAACCAGAAAAGAAAGTGAGATCGTCTCATACAAAAGATGCAACATAGAACATACTAACTAGATATCCTAGATTCAAAAAAGCCTCACTGGAGAAACAAAATAAAATAAGCAAATTCAAAAGATCCAAAACACTCTTTACCTGGTGTATCAATAACATTGATGGTGCGGCCATCCGTCAACATGGTGCTTCCCATCTGACAAGTATTTGTCACACTAGCATGAGAGTATTCTGATACAAATGCTTCCCGCCCAAGGATACTATTGCCAGTTGCACTCTTGCCATAGCCAAGTTTTCCAACAAGGACAAGAGTGATGTCAGCACTGGGCAACACCCAGTCGTCATCATAGTTGCTTCCACCCATTGCAGAAGTTGGTAACGAACACTCACAAAATCTGTTCAAAACATCAGGAATCAGCAATTATGTATCATATCAATTATCTTCCTAAATTGCTATATGCGACCTTTTAAACAAAATTAGCATTTGAACAAATTACCCTGCCCCAAAACACAGACAAACCAACATAAAATTCATTCCAACACTGTCTAACTTCTGTAAATACTAAAATGCATGAACATAAATTTGGATGGTAAACTCTGAACAGAAAAACAAAACCTCGGACCGAATTGTCACAATTGGGGCTCTCTGGAATAGACACAACTGGGTCCCAATTATTAGAACTTGCGGTCCAGAGAAATATTTCAATGTATACCGTATCAGAAACGGCTTCTTTGGTAGTATGAGTGTTTCTTAGCGCTCCAGAGAAATAATTCTATGTATACCGTATCCGATTCGGATTCGTTGGTAGTATCCGTGTTTCTTAGGGCTCCAGAGAAATATTTCTATGTATACCGTATCCGATTCGGATTCCTTGGTAGTATCCGTGTCTCTTAGGGCTCCAGTGTATACCGTATCCGATTCGGATTCGTTGGTAGTATCCATGTTTCTTACGGCTCCAGAGAAATATGTCTACGTGCATCGGTGTAATATAGTAAGGTCCAAATTTGTTTAGCTGAATCTTTATTACTACCCAGCTAGCACATATCGCCAATTTGATCCACACACAAAGAGCTGACAGGAATATCACAACCTGATTATTCCTTTTCAGGTACCAAGCGAGCTACTAGAGTTGGCTACTGTACCTACCACATGTGCACACTGCTATTCTGGGCAGGCACCAAAGTAACTACAAGATCAGGTCTAAAAACAGGACTTCCTTCCTTAGCACGCACCAAACTGGGTAACACCACGGCCATGTCATTAATCATTGCCGGTCCCCTATTTTCCTCTCGGTGCCAACACTAACCAGATTTTTACTGGGCAAATAAAAATCACACAGGAAACGAATCTAACAAATTTTGCACCGTAGGCCGATGCTAAACGCTGCGTCACCAGCTGATTAAATCCTCGTGGGAACCAAACGGATGTAGCTTGCTCCAACCCATCTACTATTTCAATTAGGCTCATCGATTCTTGATGAGCAAAAAACTAGGATCCGTGCTGAAATTAGCACTACGACTAGCACAGCCAGCACGAAAGTAGCACCATCATGGTACGTGACGGCATCCGGACGAAATCGGCGGCCAACAAGGGAAAACTCGATCGACCCCCAAAACGAAAGACAACTGTGCTGGGACCTGGGAGCGATACCTGACGGCAGGGAAACTTCTGTCGGCGCCGACACAGCAGTCACGAGCACGGAGGACCCGCAGCAGACGGCCGCAGAAGCAGCCGGAAGTAGGGATCTGCGACGGCGGTGAAGCCCTAGGCGGCTGCGGCGGCGATTCGGTCGCTTGGCGTGTGCGCGAGGAGGAGATAGGAGGAGGCTGCGGGGCTTCTTTTTATTTTGGAGTTTCCAAATCTCCTTTTTTTTCTTAGAGATGAAGAAAGAAGAAACCAAGCCGCACACGCGAGGCTGCAGAGTATTTTGGAGTTTCCGAACCGCACGCGTGAGGGCCACGGCCCATCTCTCTGACTACCAATATTTTCTAGTAGCTCTCTTGTTTTTCTTTTTCTGAATGAACTTATAACTGCTCGATGATAAGCACGCTTCGGTTCTGATTTTATTCCATGTTTTAAGGAAACTGATTTACAATACCAACAGACCATTCACTCCTATACCTTATGAAGCAAACCGTGTTTTATTCGGGAATAAAGGAGTTTTTCCCCATAGTTTGAGGGTTAGACCATTTCAGCGCTACGGGTCGGCAAAGATCCGCCGCCTTGCGAACCACTGGATTCAACGCGGGATAGCCTTCAGATCCAGCTCCTATCTTTGCAACAATGATGATGTTGCGCTTTGGATGTTCACAACAGAGTTCGAGTTCCCGAACTTTTGCAACAGAGGTTTTGTTGTAGATTTATTTTTGTAACAGAGCTAATGTTGCAGATTTTTTTGGGGGCAGTGCTACACGTCTGTGGATCTGCATCATCAAGTGGCCGAGCGGCGCTCTCCACCTTTGCAACAAAGTTTAAGTTGCAGAAACTTTTGCGACAGAGATCATGTTACGAAAACTTTATACCAAGAGTTATGTTTCAGAAAACCTTTGCAACAGAAGTTGTATTTCAGAAACTTTTATAACAGTGTCCAGGTTACAGAAAAATCACCGCACTCGCATTGCTGCATTGTCATGTTTTCGCTGTAACATTCCCCATGTTTCGGAAACATGGGCGACATTGCGATACGAGACTTCATCGATAGGCTCTTTTGCAACAGCAGAGCTCGTAGCATCGGTGGTGGGTGGCGGCCACCGTCGTTGCAGCACCGCCGTTTTTTTACCACCGCCATCCAACCCCCTGAGCTCCCATCTCGAGCCCCGTGCAGTAGGCGACGAGCAGTGCTGGCCCTGCAACAACAGGCTTTGGTTTGTAGCAACGGGAGTAGTGGATGGTAGCAGGAGCTGGCAGCTGTGGCTTGCTTAGCAAAGTGGTTTCAATCTTGAGACAACATGTGGTTTCTGGCTGGAGGAGCAGTCATATTGCCATGGCTGGGAGCTTGAGATGGATAGCACGTACTAGGAGAAAGGATGAGCAGTCGGCGCTTGCGAGGATAAGGATGCACTGTTACTTGCTGATGTTTCCGGAGAGAGAGGGCATGGGACCAAGAGAGAGCGCCAGACAGCCATGAGATTGAATGCAATCCAACGGCAATGCATCCGGCGAATGTCCACCACGGATCAGCCGACTGAGGGGAAGAGTTTCTCATTTTATAAAGATATTTTACAAACAAGTCATGGGGTACCGCGGGTTGTATGAGCAAGCCAATGTGAACATCTATATATTCTATAAAGATATTTTGACCGAAACAAACTCTTGTTCACCCACAAACATCTTTGATTTCATTGACTAGTCAATGTGTACGTGCATTGCACGTTTATTTGAAAGTATATTAAGTGCATGCCGATATTAAGTAGGATATTATTTGCATGTTATTATGTGATTAGCATTATATTTGGCATGAAATTAACTGCACGCTAAACGTGTTGAGCGCTTGACATTGAAGCAGTGTAGGTCGTTGGATTGACATGATTTGATGGCCGAGATTAATTGGATATGCCCCTTTGAGTCTTTTTATATTGGTATAGATGAGGTGATCATGCGGTGATCTGATGAGAGAAGCATCACATAGAGCAGCTAGAGCTCCAACAAAATCCGATTGCACCAGACTGGAAGGTTGGACCATTTTGAAGAGCCAAAGTCATATCTCCCATTATCGCATATATCTCTAAATCGGGTGCATCATTACAATAGAACAATAATAGAGAGGGGCAAAGATGACCTCGCATGCACTACTTCTGAGTACCATACTTGCACCAGCCAGGTCACCCATTGGCGAGAAGATCCATCGATCGAGAGCGCCAGCCAGTCCATTGGCGATGACTACCATGACGGTTTTGGTGCACGGCTTGTCAAGTCGCTAATGGACAATGTCCTTCAATACGAACCTTACCTTTGTAATAAGCTCCACAGTACGTTGGTGAATGTTACATAAGGAGCTCAAATAGCTACACGCGAAATCATTTGATGATTCTATTGGGGGTATACTCTTTCCGTCAACCAAGTTGTTGCCCATAATCCAAATCTCTCGAAATGAGCAAGATGGTGATACCAGACACCTCACTGGAATGATTCGTGAGTAGATGGAATAACCATGCATTCCCAATGTAGGCGATTTATTTGTTTGGGGTATGGGTGTAGGCATCCTTGTCGGTTGTCCCACATAATGGGCAAGTCACCGGGGTGACAAGTGTCACTCTTTTTTGCAATTTCATGATGTTATATTATCAATCTTGGATGCTTTATATGCCTTTTATGCTATTTTATATCAAATTTTAGGACTAACCTATTAACCTAGTGTTAGTTGTTGTTTTCTGCTTATTTTGCCTTTTTAGAAAATCAATAGAAAATGGAGTCCAAACACGATGAAACTTTACGGTGATTTTTTCTGGACCAGAAGGGACCCAAGAAGGTTCGGGAGGAGGCTAGAAGAGCTGCGAGAGAGCCACGAGTTCACAGGGTGCACCCCAAGGGGTAGGCGCGTCCCTTGAGCTCGGGGCCCCACACAACTCCTTTTGACCTAGCTTCACCTCTATAAATTCACTAATATTCCCAAACCAACAGAGAGCCACCTGAAACATTTTTTCCACCGCCGCAAACTTCTGTTCTTCCGTGATTCCATCTGGAGGCCTTTTCCGGTACTCTGCTAGAGGGGGAATCAATCACGGATGGCTTCTACATAATCCTTGTTGCCTTATGATGATGCGTGAGTAGTTCATTACAGAACTACGGGTCCATAGCTAGTAGCTAGATGGCTTCTTCTCTCCCTATGATCTTCAATAGAATGCCCTCCTCGATCTCCTTGAAGTTTTATCTGATGTAATATTCTTTTGCGGTGTGTTTGTTGGGATCCGACGAATTATGGATTTATGATCAAATTATTCATTGAAAGTAACTGAGTCTTTTTGAACTTTATTATGCATGATTGTTATAGCTTTGTATTTCTCTCCGACCTATCTGTTTGGTTTAGCCAAGTAGATTGATTTATCTTCAGTGGGAGAGGTGCTTTGTAATGGGTTCAATCTTGCGGTGTCCTTGCCCAGTAACAGAAAGGGTAGCGAGGCACATATAGTGTTGTTGCCATTAAGGGTAAAACGGCAGGGTTTATTTATTGATTGTGTTTACTTTGTCTAGATCACGCCATCTTGCTTAAGGCGTTACTATGTTTGTCATGAACCTAATACCATAGATGCATGCTGGATAGCGGTCGATTGGTGGAGTAATAGTAGTAGATGCAGGCGTGAGTCGGTCTACTTGTCACGGACGTGATTCCTATATACATGATCATTGCCATGAATACGTCATAA